GCGTCTTTCACGGCGAGATATATGCTATCGAAAAAGATGTCAACATTAAACAACAAAGTACAATTCGTCCTTCGAAAATCACGATTTTTGTAGATAGGCCGCACTGAAAACAATTGAATCTAAATTCCAAGATACTCGCATCACTGATGAGCATCCAACATCATAAGGTCTCTCTTTGTTGGACATAGTACATTTCGAATACTTGGACATAGCAATATTGAAGGGAATGAACTAGCAGATAAGATGGCCTAGCAGATGAGATGGCCAGAAGAGGTTCTGAATTGCATACAGGAGATGCCGACCTCTCAATACATACACCGATATGTAAACTGTTTAGGATAATACAGGGAATCAATACGGTGACTAACAATTTATAAACTAACCGCGAAGACTGTAAGGTCGCTAGAATCTTAAGGCCTAAGTTGGACAAAAATAAAACGAAAAGCCTTCAAGGTTTGAGCAAACCTGCAGTTCGTGTGCAGGGGCACTGTGCCATTGCGCCTATGCTCCAACGGTGGCGAGTTCCAACAAGTGGATTATACAGGAGTTGCCAAGATGAAGAGGAGGTAAAATCTATCAACCACTTCCTGTGTCTCTGTCCAGGACTTCAAACAAGCCTACTTTAATGTCTTGGGGATCCTTATTTTACTGGCTTGGAAGAGATAACGAAAGCAAACTTATCGAATCTCCTCAACTTCATCTGGAAAACCAAATGGGTTTACAAGGATAACAAAGGTTAGCAACTCGCATCTCCTGGTAAAATTTTTTAAGGGCATCCCAATGGGCAATATATGTCTCCGAGTAGAAGTGCTGACAACTGTTAGTACGTGCCTTCCGATTATAACCTAACCTAGTGTGGGTTAAAATGTTCACACATATGCTCACTATAAAAATGTATATATCTCGTACAAATTATCCGAGTTATATGTAAATTGATCTCTTAAAAGAAATATTGTTAGTAAGTACATGATTTTCGCCATCCATCGAGAATCTTAGATGGCACCTGGGCGCCATACCTACAACTACAAAATATGTATAGCGTAGCGATCCGAAACCTTGCATTTGTCAAGGGCGGAAACTAAACTAGGAGTGATAAATTGAATCGTTCTGTCTGCGTTATCCCAATTTTGTTGAACTGTGTCTAAAGATTCAGCTTCCATTTTGAGACAAATTTCTTCATCGAATTTATTCAAATTAAAATCAATGCAATTTTTAGCCGCTCTTGCTTCGTTTGCTAAAAGGATATTAACTTCAGTCATACTCCCTGTACGACCATTTTCTCTTTGCTTACTAAAAAATTATTGTTTTGACTACTTTTTCAATTCTACTTAAATATCTATATAAATTATTAAGTAGAAATGTATTATTTTTATTTTTTATTTATGTTTCTTCCGTTTCTTGTAAACATTTGCGATAGCATTGTGCATGCCAGCTAAAAGGTATGAAATAGAAAACAGAGCACAGTCGCTGAACTAATTATTGTGTTTTGCGCATAGTTTTTAACCGATTTTGCTCATCAGTATCTTATTAAAAAGATATTTTAATTATCTATCAAATGAGTATATATTAATAAGTGTTGAAACAAGTAACAAAGATAAAAAATGACCTTGAATTGAAAAATTACTGTTTTTTGTCCTGAAAACCCAACTTTGCTCGAGTGGCGCAACGTCATTTTTAATCCTATTGCTCCAAAACTTTGGGAATATCATTTTTTTGGTCAATGGCATATTCCTAGGGGGTGCGCTCATTAAAAACTTCATTTTTAATTTTCCCCCTTATAACGTGAGCCACCCTAATATGACACCCAACTTTAAGGCATTTAACCGTTGTGAAACTATCTTAAAGTACATTCAAAATTAGTTCATTTTAATACGTTGAACCTCTATTAATATTTAAAATATGTCCTCTTTTGCCTTGTATTAATATATTATATCAAATAAATAATAAATACAAACTTATTTAAAACATAATTAAATTTAAATAGATTTGTTTATGCAAATTATAAAAAATTCATGAAAATTTTAATAATTAAAAGATTGAAAAAAATTAATGCAAAAAACTATAAATATTAAATATGTTATAAATAATTTGTGATATATATTCGAATATAGTTACCTTAATGTTATTAATGAGTTTTTATTTTTTTGGTATATATATTAAAGCATTGATTAACTTTTAAGCTGATTCTTAGGAAGGATTTTGAATATAGTGAGTATAGGGCATAATATTTAAGGTACTGATTGAAGGTAATATAAGTATAATTGACATAATAAAAAGTATAGACTAAAATTATTCAAAATAATTTTTAATAAACTTTGCTAATTAAAAAGATATTAGAAATTGACTTACAAATACTATAATAAGTTCCAAAACATAAATTACTAAGACAATATCTCGTTAATATCTCGTTTTTTCTGATTCAATATGTGAAACAAAGAACCAACAATCTCTCGACATTGTGATATATTTATTCTAGAAAAAATATTATCTCTTTATTTCATTCATTGAAAATGCTAATACTTTTTGAAACTTTAAAAATGTATTTAACTTAAATATCCACTTCAATATGAAGAAGGATGAAAAAATGTGTTTCTTTCATAACCACTAAATGCCATTTGAAATAAAGGTAAGTTTTAATCATTAAAACTATTTAAATATTCAGTTTTCAATAAAGGATATAACAGTTATAATATAACTTAAATAATATAACTAAATACTTCTTAGTATTACTAAAAATAGAACAATTTCGGGAATTTAAAGGGCTGATTTCGCTGTCAATGCAGAAGACTCAGGACTGACTTTATAATGCCCTAATCGTCAACTTTGCTGACTTAAATATAATAACATATAAGTCAATTGGATATAAGTAATCTAACTATTTAGTCCAGTTGAACTGTAAGTTTTCGAACTGTTTTTCTTTATTCTACCTTGAATTCTATTAACTGGATTAAAAATTAAAGAGCTGGATTAATGGATTGAAGAATCTTAATCCATTAAGAGCAATCGATTTTCTTTTGTATTTCAATACTTTTGTATTCAAAAATTTTTTTAATCCTGACCCTGACTAATATTTATACTCATAAACCAAGCAAGTTTGTTTAGAATAATTGTGGAGACCTCCGCACAGTCAAAATGAGATCTGAAACATTATCTCTGAGTCATATGAGCTGAAACGTGCACTGTCTACCACAGAAATGCTCATAGCCCTTTCAAAGACTTTTTTGTATTAAACATTTTGAAAAGTCTAGTTTTTTCGTGAATGTCTGTGATATATTGTTTGTTTTTGGACATTGTATTTGTTATACAGTTCTTTTCGATTAGCAGTAATCTGTCAAACCTTCTCTTATTTAGTACTATTAAGGCTTCGCTTTTAGCTCATTTTTAATATTCATAGCTTGGTTATTTTTAATGTGTTTGAGTAACCTTATGTCTAATTTTTCACTAATCCTTCACTTCAATGGGGCCACTTATTGGACGGTGCGCTGTACCAACGTCCCACAATACATAAACCTTATGTGTTCGAACAGTGTGGCTCGAAATTCATAAACCTTAACTATTAGACCTACTTCTGCTAGAGTTACCACCAGCATAGCGTTTTGTAACGCTGTTAGTTTCATTACTACATACTGTGTTTTGTGACCCGAATAAGTTATTTACTTATCCAAAGTTACTACTTTTAAAGTAATGTTATCACAGTATATCATACGAATTTCATAATGCAAAACATTTTTGCCACACATTTTTGTGTTACCACAAAATACAAATAATACCTATTAGATGTTAAATGTTATTAGATGAAATGTGAATGCAGTGTTGCCACAAGTTTGAAAGAAAGAGCAATCCATTATAAAATAAGTTCATTACAGTTCATTTGGGACATTTGGGATATTCTTTATTGAGAAGCTAAATGATATTACATTGTCACCATTCAAGTTTATTACTATTTAATCTAAAGTTTTAATTTAGTTACTTATCTAGAAACTAAGCCTGTTTCGCTACTTTCATAATATTGCAGTAACCTTTGCAACCGGTTTGTACAAAGAAAAAGTTCCTTATCGATATGTAATGTTATCTGTCAAGTAGAGGCGTGTATTAAAAAAAAATTAATTAAAACTTTTAAAAATTATACTAACAAAAATTAATAAAAAAAAAACACAGTTTCAAATATTTATAACATTAAAAAATTATTTATACAAAAAATTAATAAAAAATAAAATTTTAACAAAAACAATTAATATAAAATGTTCATATTTTAATTTATAATATTATTTTTAAAATTAATAATTTATATTCATTTTTAATATACACACATATAAATGCAATTTTTTAACTATCTGATAAATACCTTAGACAAATATATACGTATATACTATATCATTAAATATCTTATAAATGTATATAATTATTTTACAATATTTTTTTTTTAATTTAATATTATTTTTACGTTACGAGTTTAAAAAATAAACGATATATGTAATTAAATATTGCTTTCAGCCATCTTACAAGTTTTTTTTTTTTGTATCTTTTTTATATTAATACGTTAAACATTAGTTAAACAATTTTTACTTTTTTTCGTTATATGTGATTAACCAATTAATATAAATAATTCAATGCTTATTGCTATCTGCTTTTAATTTATATAAGTTTTTGAGAGTTTTGTATATGACTATATACCAAATATCAAGTATAATTTTGTTCGCAATGAAGATAAACAATTACGTTAATTAATTATTAATTACACATATTTTAAAGGATGTTACTTATTTATAATAAATACGGACAATCTTAGGCTTCGTAGGCGTTATAAACTAAGTAATTTCGGTTCTGCATATTTTTTGAAATTTAATTTAATATATTTTACTAAATAATTAGGCAATGCTAAAAGCTTTTTTAGTAAATTTTATTTAAATAATAATTTTTGTGGCGCATCGCTTAGTTCAATATTAATTAAATACATTGAGTAATAAACTTTTAATCAAGCCTATTAAATATAATTAAATTACAAGTAAATATGTTTGGTTTTAGAATATCTGAAGGTCTATATTATCCACATTCATGCTCTCAACTATGCTAAAAGTACAATATATATAATATATTTTTTATCTATTTAAGCAATTAATTAACAAATATTTTGCTACTTATAAATTCGTTTCAGTTCTTTGTGGTATTGTGTGTACCACGGGTTTATTTCCTGTAGTAGCACTACTCGGCGCTGTGATTGTTGTTGCTATGACTTGATTAGCGTTTAGAGCCGGCGTAGTTGTTGTTGTCACACGTACACGTTCTCCAACACCTGGACCGATTCCGGCACCGCTAAATAATTTCATATGCCTTAAGTTTTTACCTGTAGTTTGTAGTTTCTGTGTTGTCGCTAAACCGATATTTCCATTGCTGTGCAATTGACTACCTGTCGAGACAATAGTACCGGTACTATTACTATTATTTGTGCGGGAACAGTGCATAGACCATTCATTCTGTTTGAGCAAAAATTGTTTGACATTATATTCCATTTGTGCTATGTCCACATTCTGCGTGGTGGTGTGCAATTCCGCTTTAATGGCACGTGTCTTATCCGTTTCACTGGGATAATATTTATAATTTAATATATCACACGTTGGCTGCTCTGGCAGAGTTGGAGTGTTACTGTTGCAAGTACTGCCGTTATGCGTAATGAGATCAGATGTAGTATATGCAACTGGAAGACCCGATCGTGTTGTGCGTCGATAAAATGTATGCGCAGTATTAATAAGTGGTTGTTGTTGCTGTTGTTGTTGTTGTTGATATTGTAATGGCGGTGTTTGTTGCATTTTATTAATATTATTATTAATATTCGTATGATTATTAACTGGTTCAGTTTTGGGTGATAATGAATCTTCAGTTGATTTATTTGTTTCATCTTGTTGATTATCTGAATAACCATTAGTTTGTGGTTGCGGTGTAGTCTTATAACCAGAGTCCATTGATAACTTTTCCATAGAAACAGAATCTAATTGATCAATGGTAGAGAATGAGGACTGACGATCTGTACCTGAAGAATCACAATGATTCATAGCATTTATCACTTGTTGCTGCTGTTCTAATTGTTGTGTATTATTCTGTACCCATTCGGCTACACGGCTCAATTGCTGTCTACGTAATATAACACTCTCTTGAAAATCTATAACATCACTTACCGAACTGGATTGTGTGCAAGATTTTGAATTTAAGGAATTTTTTGAACTAGGTTCATTTTGCAATATTTCGAAACTTGAAGAAGTTTTATCCAATTGTTGTTGTAGTTCACTTGTCAAATCCACTAGATTTGCGAGTCCTATTTCTTGCTTAAGTTCAGCACATTTGTCAGTCGATAAGTTTGATTTTATATCTTTATACATTTCTATATCAGTTTTACCAGTCTTTTGTTCAATTTGAGAATCTACATTTGTTACTATTAAGCTAGGAGAATTGATTTCATCAAGTAAACCACCGCCTTTAGTTTCTCCATTGCAGCCAGCTACATGTATAACCTCATTATTATTGCACATGATTGCCTTACATTCACTTGTGCTGAGATCATTAGTTACACTTAGTGCACATATCGGATCTAAAATTTCACCAGTTCCACTATTGCTACATTTCTCTACACTTTCTATTAAATCTAACTTATCTACATTTGGTAAGCATCTAGTAGAGTTTGAAGTGATTATATCTTTCGTATCATCTAACTCTTCGTCTAAGAGACGCTCACGTCTTCTATATATAATCGGTGTAACCGCTTCCATTGATTCTATGTTGTCCAGCAATATATTGCTTTGTCCATTCTGTTGTATGCGCATAGCACATAAACGTGGTCCACGATACT